AACAACAACAATACATTCCGTGTAGTTTGGCCTCTTTCCTCCAGCATTACTGCTTCTTTATCATGTACAAGTTTATAAAAACCATTTTTTTCTGGTACAGTGACTGTGTATTTCTTCCTTTTTCTTTTGATGCTTCTGCATCAATCAATATTATCCCCCCAGAATCCTTCAAGATTGCAACTTGAGGCTTGAATTTTTCTCCAGTTCTTGTTGTTTGAGAAACACTGAGCATGTTTTGCTCTTTGGGTTTTCTAACTCCAGGTCTCTGAACCTTTAGTTACAATACTTTGCTTTGTCTTCTTAAGCAACCCTTTGAAAATTTCTGTTCAGCTCTCTTACTTCAGCATTTCTTGCTTTTATTTTGGCTTCTTTACTTTCTGATGCACGTTTCAAGAGTCTATTCTGACAACCATTCTGGTCTGCTATTCTCCTGACTTTTGTTTTCTCTAGGGATGATGTCCTTGATGTTATCTCACTTGTCTGGCCTTTGGTAATTAACATCCAATGCATTAAATCTATTCTTGAGACAGTTTTTAAAATCAGTTGGGCTAGACTTAAGGCCCTATCAGGGAATTTTTCAATCACTTTTTTATACAGATACAGTCCATCTGATTCCTGTGGAAGTCCATCAGGAGAAATGCTGTGTATAGTTGATATTTATGTCCTTTAAAATAAGTATTTGCAATAAATGAATGATTTATCATACAGGATGTTATCATTTGATCTCCAGCCTCATTTCTGTCACCCAGGCCATGTTTTCCAGCTACCATTTATTATTATTTTGATTGTATGTTTAACTAATTTTAGACATAAAAGTTCGTAGAAATCTTTAATTTTTTCATCTTTGTCTTTAGGAGCTGGTGCATGTATGTGAATAATGGGTGCATGAATGGTTCCTCCTTCTATGAATATGGATAGTATCCCAGTACTCATAGCACTGTACTTTAGGATAGATTTTGAAATGTTCTTTTAGACAATGAAATCAACACCACTCTCTTCAATTTGTTATTCTCAGACTAGGTGATATCATGACTGATTTAAAACAGCCAATACCAATCCATTCCAGTTCACAATGGCTAAGATGTGGATCTTTTTGTGTTTTGTTTTTCACAATTTCCCATTTTCCTAGGTTCAAACTTCATACATGACATGTTCCAGTAATGGATGGATATTTGCAGGTATTTCTTCTCATTTTTTGAGTACCATCTGACTTGAGTGGGCTCATCTTTTGGTGCTATATCCAACAATGTTCTCCTGTTATCCATAGGTTTTTCAGAGGCTGGTTTCTTCTTACTCTGCCTTAGTCTAGAATGTCCATTTAAACATGTTCACCATTCATGACCTGTACATTCCTATAAGAAAACCAGGACTAATGCAGATCTCCACTAGGATGACTCTACTGTGTTCTAGAAACTGGCCATAACCACACAGACGAAGGGACCTAAAAGGAGGAGGAGTATTTCCAGTATATTTAGAAGTAAATACAATTTTCACATATAAAGTAATAAAAATATGGAATTCCCCAGTAATGATTTTGATGAAGTTTTAGAATTTTTGCTGTATTTGCTTTCCTATATAGCCACCACAAAATTCCAATACTATCTGTAGTGTAAACATTTTAAGATAAGCAATTATGACAAAGATTAAAGGAAAATGTTTATTAAAACACTGAAAGAGATTATTATAACAAAATTCTGTTTTATTCTACATATTTTCCTATATATGCCCTTTACCATCTATCTCCTGTATCTTTTTCCAGAGCAAAAGACATTTTCAGTTCCACCATGGAATCATGACCAACCCTTCAACTTCTATGTGAATAAGGAATCAAACAATTTGAGATGTAGTGATAGGTTTTGCTTTTTAAAAAAATTATTCCTTAACTTCTTCATCTGTAAAGTTAGGGGAACTATTTAAGATTAATAAACAATACTATCCTGTTGTCTCCTGAGAAAGCAATCTCTTTCTGTGACTTACAATTTAATGGATTTCAAGAGTGCTAAGGGGTTTTAAGTTACTGCACACACACACACACACACACACACACACACACACACACACACACAGTAGATTTTCAATACATTAGTAAAAATTAACAACCTTTTCTGTTAAAGTCCTCATATACATTATTACGAATCATAAAACATTCCTGATAAAAACTTTTAAAATTAAAACAAACCCCCAAATAAATAATTTCAAACCTTTAAGAAAATACTTCTTGCAGGGAAGGTGAGGTAGTAAAACAAATATGAAAATGTATTTACCTGTGAAAATTTTTTCAACACATGATGTAAGGAAAAGTAGATTTCCACATGCAGAATAATAAAGATGTCTCCCTACTTTATACTATATTAGAAAATTAACTCAGAATGGATTCTCAAACTCACTCATTGCTGCTGAATCAGAACTGACTTATTTATTTAGCAAAAACAAATACAGTCAGTGTGTAACTCCTTCAAATTTTTAATCGGTAGGGAATTATCCAAAATAGAAAAGTGCTCAGTATATAAATCCCACCCATATTTTAGTTTTCTGGCTTTACAGATAATTAGCATTTATCAAAGTAAAATAATATTTGCCAATATAAATGACTATCAAGCTAAGTGTATCTCTATTTATAGTTTACTGTCTGAATACAAGAGATGTTTCAGGAAAAGACTTACCTGACTGAGTTTTTCCATATGTGCCACCAAAAGGGGAAAACGGTGAACTAGAGTTGAGTCATTTTCTGTGCTAACTTGTTTGACAATTGATCTTAGAAGTACTTCTCCATCATATGCAATAGGGAAAATAGAAGTAAGCTTAACAGAAGTATGACCGAGAGCTGACATAACAGCTGCAAGAAGTCGGCTGCTTGATGTCTTGAAGTTTGCCTCTTGGATATCCTTTTGAAAAGACACAGTTCCCAGGAGGAAAAAAAACCCAACTGTGTCAATATAAGCTAAGCTCGTAGCTATATACAAGGCAAATAATTTTTTAATACTAAAGTTTTTAATACTAAGTCATTTCTATTGTACTAGTACAGAATATGATAATTTATATTTTTAAACAAAGGTTTTATTATTCTACAAAGGTGGAAAATTATTAAGTAGAAAAATCAGCTGTCTTTCACCTAATTTGTATATATATTCATTAAATATTCTCAGACTAACAGTTCTTTTTAAGATTATTCTTAAAGAAAGACATCAAAAGGGTTTCAATTAGCATGCAAATATATCTACCCACTCACCAAAATAGACCTATTATCTGATTTTTCTAGTAACAGCATCAAAAGGTAATATGTCAAATAAATGACTGAAACAGCAATTCTATGCTACTATAATAACATTTCACTCAGCTGACAGACTTAACATTACAATCATTATTTTAATTAGAAAAATGAGTGGCAGTTTTATAACAAGGTATCTCAATATAAGATACAGTGATTCCAAACAATGTATACACATTTGTCAAGCTAAAAGTAATGCAATGTTCCATATGTTATGCCAATGTTTGTTTGTTAGAGTTAGCTTGCTCAGTTTGAAAAGATGGGAAACTACTGTCAAGAGTGAAATTAAATTGTATACTTGGGTAGGGAATAATCCTTCGGAGGAAACTGAGTTGTACTCTGCTCTATGGATCCAAAAGTGCCAACCCATTTTTCTCCTAGTTCAGACTTCTAGCACAAAGCTGTACTTTCTCTGTCTTGTTTCCAAATTTATAGGAATATTAACAATTTTATCACTGATTAAATTTATCATGAGTGGGATTTTAGCTGTAGATCTTTTTCTATAGATATGGCTTTATAGACTGAAGTTCTTTATATAACTTGTTTAGAGTTTCTTTCCCTTTTAGTAATTTTTAATCATGAATAAGTGCTAATTTTGTGAAATGATTTTTCATCAAGAGGATCATACTTTTTCCTCTTTATCCGGTACTATTGTGAATTATTTTATCGAATGACTTTTAAATGAAAAATTTTCAACTTATGAGACAAACCACTTGATACTGATATATTATCTAATTTATTGTTATAAAATGTTACAGTATTGCTAAGAACATGATTTGATAAAACAGTTAAGAATTTTTATATTAATGTTTCTGATGAAATGAACTTGTACCTTTTTCCCCTACTATCTTTATTAGGTTTTGAAGTTGTTGTTGTTGTTATGTGCTGTCGAATTGCTTGCGACTCATAGCGACCTTATGTACAACAGCCCTAAACTCTGCTCCGTCCTGTGCTAATTGCACTGTCTCCGACACATTCATCCCAATTACCCCAGTCGCTGAATCAATCCACCTCATAGAGGACCTGCACCTGCCCTCCACTCTCCCAAGCATGATATCCTTCTCCAAGGACCAGTCTCTCCTTACAACATGTCCAAAGTATGTCAGACAAAGCCTCAGAATCCTTGCCTCCAATGAGCCACCTGGTTTAATGCTCTCCAGGAGGAATGTTTGTTTTCTTAGTAGTCCATGGTACCCTAATAGTATAATTAATTGGGAGATGTGGTCTTTTGTATTTTCTGAAAGAGTTTGTAAAAAAAAAATTGCTGTTTTTTCTTTCTAAAATTTTTTATAGACTTCACTAAGAAGGCTATCTGGGCCTGGCATTTTCTTTTTTGTACAATAAAGTCAAAGTTTTGGATGACCTTTTCCTGTATCAGTTTTGATAAATTGGACTTTTCAAGGCATTTGTTTGTATCATATACGGCACAATTTTTCACAATATTCCTCTTATTGTCCTCTTAATAAGGAGTTTTGGTAACGTTACATGTTGTGCTGCCAAATGAAAGGTCACTGGTTCGAAACCACCAGTTGCTACATAGGAGAAAGATGGGTAGTTTCTTTCAATAAAGATTTATAGCCTCAGACACCTGAGGGATGGTTCTTAATGGGTTAGTGGGACAGCAGCACATGTGGCTCCTTGCCCCTTTATTCTTTTTAAATGTGATGTGAGTAAAAGTTTATAAGCAAACTAATTTTTCACTCACATATATACATTTGTTCCACACCATTAATTTCAATATCTACAATGTAACTTGCACTTTCTTCGCTTCCTCCCTACAACTTTGATTTCCGTTTGTCCTATACTTCTTTGTTTTCCTTTTCTTTTTAGTATCACTGTTAATCATTCTCTTCATTTAGATTGTTTTAATGCCTCTAGGTCTATAATTAGAATCTATTTTGTTCAATAATAACGGCATTTTGTCTTTTGTTTTCTGTCAGTCTTCCTAGTTTATCAAGCTTGTTAATAGTCAAGTACCAACTTTTGTTTCATTAATTTGCTGTATTTTTTTTAATTTCCCTGAGTTCTGCTTTTAATTATCTTTATTCCTTTTACTTTGTGTTTACTTAATTGTGTTCATGAGAAACCTGTACACAGATTAAAGAAGCAACTGTTCAAATAGAATGGGAAGGGTACTGCACAGTTTAAAACCAAGGGAGGTTTTGCTTTAAGACTGTTTCTTTTCTCTGTATTTATTCAATCCACATGCTGAGCTAGAATCCAAGATGTTGGATGACATGAAGAACAATGTGAGCATCAACATCAGAGGATAATTTATCAACAACCGACACACATCATGTAGATGATACCACCTGGCAAGAAAGTGAACAAGACTTAATGCATTTACTGAAGATTAAAAAACTCCAACTGTAATATGGATTATGCTTTAATATCAAGAAAACAAAAATCCTCAAAACTGTACCAACAGGCAAGAAGAAAAGATTAGAGCAAGGATGTCTCTTAAAGATTAAGGAGCATGTGACACAAGGCATGGTATTTTCAATTGCTTCCTATACATCTCAAAGTTGGAAAATGAATAAGAAAACCAAAGAACTGATGCCTTTGAACTGTTGTGTTGGGGAAGTGTATTGCCTATACCTCTAATTGCTTTAAAATAAAAACAAATTGATAAACTAGGGTGCTCCTAACAGGCAAGGAGGGTGAAATTATGTCTTGATATTTAAGCATATTGTCAGGAGGACACAGTGCTTGGAAAAATCACATCATTCTGGAAAAAAATGAAGGGTCATTGAAAGAGAGGAACACTCTCAACATGATGGGCTGACTGACAAACTGAGTACAACAATGGGCTTCAGTAGGTGAAGACCTTGAAGATAGTGGAAGGCAAGGTTTCAATCTTTTGTTCATAAGGTTGCTATGAGTCAGCAGACTCAAAAACCCCTAACAATTGTGCATTTAATTTGTTCCCCTTTTATCTTCTTACAGTAAAGACTTATATTACTGGTTGTGAGCCTTGTTGTTTACTAGTATGGATATTTAAAACATTAATTTTATCTAAGAATGACTTTTTACCTGCTTTTCACAAAGTTTTGATAAGATTTCATCATTCAGTTTGAACCATTTTCTCAGTTGTGATTCCTTCTTTCTACTGACATTCCAAAAGCCCAACTAGTTGGTGGGTTTTCTCATTATAATATTTTGTAGAATTTATTTTTTTTTATTTGATACTATTTTACTTACAAAGTTTGTAGACATTGTTTTTTCACACCGGATCTTTCTCTTTTCCTTTACCCACCCCTCCCCTCCACCCATCAAACTGTGAGACCCTGTGATTTAGTCCCCTCTCCCAAGTACCCATCCTCAACCCTCTCCTTCTCCTTCCCTTCCTTGGATCCTCATACTTGTTCTACAATAATGGTCTTATACAGTATATTTGCTGTTATGAGACTGAGTGTGTTCACTTATCATAATGCTCTCCAGTCCCTCCCAAGTTAGGTAGTGATTTACAAATATTGTTCCTGCATGCCGCATAGTATTCCATTGTGTGAATGTACCATAAATTCAATATATATTTGTGACTGATACCTAAACTACTGATATTTAAAAGAAAAATACAAGGTCACTAGGAATGGTAATCAACTCAATAACAGGGTTTTTGGTCATCTGAGCACACTCCTCAAAGTTTGAATCTTAAGTTTACTAAGACTTATTTTATAGGTTAGTATTGGCTCTATCTTGAGGAATGTTCCATTTACAAGTAAAAAGAGTATGGATTCTGCAGTTTCACAGTCAGTTTTTTATATGTTGATCAGGGCAAAGTTGTCAACAGCACTGTGGAGACCTTCTATGTGTCTAGTCATTCTATTATTTACTGAAAGAGCAATGTGAACATCTCTATTCTTGTAAATGCTTTTATTTCTTCCTTGGGTTCTGCATGTTTCCCCCTCTCATGTGCTCTCAAAGGCTGTTACATGGTGCATACAAATTCATGGCAACTGTTAAGGCATTTGAGTCCAGGAAGACTCATAGTGACCCTATAAACAGCAGATGGGAACTTAACCCTGCACTTTCCTCAAGATCTCTGATATGCTTGAGCCTACTGTAAGAGGCATTGTGTCAGTCCACCTGGTTGAGGTTCCTCCCTTCTTTCGCTAACCTTCTATCTTTTTAAGCATACTGCCTTTTTCCAAGAACTGGAGGACCTTATGAATGACTGACACTAAAAACAAAGTCATTCACTGACTGTTTTTCTTGATGTGTATAGGTAGGAAGGAACACTATCTGGATGCTGTCTATGACCTCAAATATTCATCACTCACTGTTCTTTCCTTCTCTTATACACACTCACCCACTCTTAGATTCAAAGAGAATATTAATTAGCAACTGCACAATGTAACGCTAATTTTCTAATTAACATAATGCAAATAAACAATTCATGTGCTAAAACATGACTATGCAAGTTACACCCAAATTAATGCCAATTAGTTGCCTTATCTTTTATGCATGCGTGAAAAATGAGGCCAAATGTATTTTATTCTCTTAAGGATTTAAGTAATAATCAGATGTTCAATTTGTATTTGATAAATTCAGATTACCTGATCCAAGCAATTCAGCAGATCACAAAGACAAGCCCACTGTAAGGCTGGTGTTGGGTAGAAAGAATGGAAACAGGCAGTGAAAGTATTGTGACACTCCTGGAGGACAGCCTCTAGGAGACGTAAGGGCTGACTGAGATAGCCTTGAGGGTCATTATCCAGCTTCACCATGCAGTGATCAACGCCTTCTGATAAAATTTTTCTTAACAAAGTTCGGGTTTTTCCGACACACTCTGCTAATTTGCTAGTTTCTTCAACAACTGCTTTTCCTGTAGCTTTGAGGGAATAAAAATAGATTGGTAATTAGGTAAATATGCACAATAACATTCAGTATAATTCAAAACTTTCTATATTGCTAAGCTTATATGTACTCATACACTAGTAATGAAACAACTTGACACTGTAGTCCAAAATGCATCTTTTAAAAGTTTAAATGGGGATAAAAACCCTTTTAATTTCCACCATTAAGTCCAAATCACTTTGTAAAAATATTTCAATTTGAGTTAATTTTCTTCAAACAATAATTTAATGGAATATTTAATTTTAACCTAAAAGACTTCTATATTCAGAATGACATGTATTTTATTTATATAAAACTGGAGAGCATTATGCTAAGCGAACTAACTCAGTGTCATAAGGACAAATACTGTATACACATGTATGAGGATGTAAGGCGGGGAGCGTGGGAGGAGGGGTGTGAGGACAGGCGGGGGAGGTGGTGGTAAGTTAATCATAGGGTCACATAATTTGATGGGTGGAGGTAAAGGTGGGTAAAGGAAATGGAAAAGATCCAGTGTGAAAAACAATTTATACAAGCTTTTTAAGTAAATCAGTACAAAATAAAATTTTATTAAAAAATCCCTTGACATATAATGGTAAAAAATATCCATGGGTGGACTTCAACTTTCAAATTTTTGGTTAGTTTCTGAGAGCATTAACTGTTTTTATCATGCCTACTTATCTAAAAAATACTTGAGTTCATACTTCAATATCATCTCTGTCCAATGACATCAATATTCTATGTAATTACTTTTTTCTCCTGGTCCAGGATCAAATTCATACATGGCTGTATTATGCTGTAATAGCTGTTATATTTCTTTAGTCTTTTTAAATCTGAAACAGTTGCTTAGGGTTTTTTTAAGACACATCAAGTTATGTCAAGATGACTTCTGTTCTCTTTTCCTAGGCATAGGTTAAAGAAAGTTGCTAATCTTAAGCTCTTATCTCACATCTTTTCTTCAAAAAGTTATTAAAAACACTTCTCTGTGCAACCTTAATTCTGGATTTCTGTGCTAACCATAATACGCAATCATATATCACCTCTAATCTGCTCTTTCCCTCATCTGTTTCAATACAATATACATCATTTATGCAGTTTTTTCTGTCATACCCCAACCCTGATGGTTAGCACAGGAATCCAGAATTAAGGTTGCCTAGAAAAGTGTACTCAGGGTTGGGGGGTGGGGGGGAAGGGATGGGGGAACTGTATACTAATGAAGGATTTTTTTTCTTTCTTTTTCTTTTTGGAGAGGGGAGTGAACTGGTGGGGAGAGGTGGGCAGGGTGAAAAGTGCGGCCATGAATGAATGGAAATCCAAACCCTCTGTAAATGTCTATTAAAATTAATAAAAAAAGAAAAAAGTCGTTAAAAACAAACAAACAAACAAACAAACAAAAAAACACACCCCACACAATGTACCTGACACTGGATAAATTTCACAAGTATAGACACGCAATAGCCTCAGACAGCAGGTACCCACGAAGCGTAGTCTCTCTAAATCCAGAAGTGTCGCTGTGAACTGGAACCCTTTCAATCCTCTAAGCTCTTCAACTCCTAATACTAAGGTGGTCCAGCTCCAGTGAAGAATACTCAGCAATGACTCAAAACATTCCTAATCCAGAATATGGAAAAAATGGGTAAAAATTAGTTCAAAATGGAATCAAACAGTAAGACAGCAACATTCAACTTCAAAGTTTATTTTAATGTTTTATGTAAATTTTAGAAGTCTCAAATCACAATATCATATTTATTAAATCATCATTAACACCTTCTGTGAAGTTTGACAAAAAAGTGAAGTTGTTAAGGACAATAAAATAATTAAGTAGTAACACATATAATAATTAACTTTCAAAGGTTTGTCATTTCCATACTATCTAATAATTACATGTTTACTTGAAAATAAAATAAAACTACACTCACTGTAGTATGATATAAATAAAAATAAAGATATTTAAAAATTCAAAAAATGTTTAATAAAGTATTTCAGCAGTAAATGTCAATCACAGTATCAAATGTTATTCTGTGTCTGCATATCAAAATTCACAATACAAACTATAACCAATTCTTGATAAATAAATTTTAAAAAGATGAAAACTGGCTAGAATATGTTTTTAAAATTTGTATTGGAATTAAAAATATAAAGTATATGGTGGTGAATCTTTCTTCTAATTCTAATTGTTGGTAAATTACAACATGCTTATATAATAACCCATTCAAGTTGAATTTCCCAAAGCAAAGTATCCCATCAAGTCTAACATCTGGTTACAGGTAATACTAATAATTAAGAGTTTAAAGATTAAAGTTAATAACAGAAACAATATTTAGATAAAGATTAAAATTAGTTAATGACCACCAAATTACTTGGACATGGAGAAGCATTACAAAGCACAGGTGAAAAGAGACTACTCAGAAGCATTTATTTAAATGAAGATTCCAAATTGATCTTAGTACACAAAAGTAACAACGAAGCAAAGTTCTTTTAGTCTCTTATTCAAAGTACACTTTGTAAACTGCCAGAACTCTTTTGAAAAGTCAAGCAGATGAGACAAATCTATTTCACAAATAAATAAATAAGTAATCAAAGACATAAATGCATGGACAGTAACTGTTATGGAATTAAATGTATCATCTGAAAAAATTCAGTATATGTAACAATAAAAACTGTGAAACAAACTAGTCTGTCAAAAGGAATCCTCTATTTACACTGAGATGATTCTAACTCACAGTGTCCCTGTAGAACTGCCCCACAGAATACTTCAGGCTGCAAATCTTTACAGGAGTGGACTGGTGGACTGAAACTGTTAACCTTTCAGCTGGCAACCTAATGCTTAACCCACTGCACTGCAGAACTACTACAGCAGGAACAGTGTTGAATTAATCAGAAGACAATGGGACACTAGGTAAAATTCAGAAAAGGTACTGCAGTAAAGTATTAACATGAAAAGAGGACTACAGTATAAATCGTAAAACAAAAATTTATAAAAAAATCATTTATGTTAAGCATATGCATCCATATAAAATGGTCAGGAAGGATATATATCAAAGTATAAACTGTAATAACATACGGTGCTAACAAAGTGATAGGGAAAACCTTTGACATCCTCTTAGTAACATTTCATCCCTACGTCATATGGTTCCAAACAAGGCATGCATCACATTTGTGGTTTAAAAAATTTAATAACAAAAGAAGAAAAATGAAGAAACCATTATATTTTTATGACTTACCAATATATATGAACAGCTACGTCAATACATTTTGTAGTTTAAATAGGTATTTTAATATCTCCAAGGGTTGCTTGGAAATCAGTCTAGTCTATTTTTGAGAGATTATAATCTTGAAAAATCTTATGGAAGTAGCACTACTGCAGAAACATGCATACGTTATGAAGCAGAATCAACTGAGTGATAACTAATGAACAAACATTTTAAAAAGATTAATAAAAAGTCTATGATGTAGCTTATTTAAATAACTTAGTTAAGAATAAGAAATAATAAATGAAAGAGCAAAAACAGAACTCAAGACTTCCTGAATGCACACACCATATTCTTTCAAGTACATCCTGTCGCCTATGGTGGCACAGTCCACAGGGACCTGCACTGCTAACCCAAGGGTAGAGCCTTTCTGCTAGTTTAAATCCACCAGCTGCTCTGTAGGAGCACTGTCCCATCATACAATTTACACCCTCTGAAAACCAGATGGACAGTCAGCTCTAATTCTAACTCAAAGGTAATGAGTTGCATTCTGTATCAATAAACTCCAAAACACTGTCTACTCTTTAAATGTAGAAAAGAGACGGTGAGTAGTTATATACACAAGTCAGTACTAAAGGCAATTTGTCTAATTAGTAATAAAGTGACACTTTTCAGATCAGCACTATCCTTAATTTTATTCTTTCATTTTGTAACTTCTTGAGCACATGCATGTATACACAGCTTCCTAGCAAATTCACCAGTTATTTCAGTAATAGCTAGGCAAAGTTAATTGAGCATGTTAAAATATTTATCTTCCCTCTCCTATTCAATATAGTATTTGAAGTCTTAGTGGTAGCAGTAAGACAAGGAAAGGAAATAAGAGGTATCAGGAAATAAGAAGTATCCAAATTTGTAAAAAGGCGGTAACATTATCTCTATATGCAGATGATATGATAGTATACTTAGAAAACCCTAAAGATTCAGCAAGAAAACTACTGGACATAATTGACCAATTCAGCAAAGTGGCAGGATACAAGATCAACATACAAAAATCAATTGGATTTTTCTACAGTGACAAAGAGAATATAGAACTGGAACTAAGAAAAACAATATCTGTCACAACAGCTAATCACAAGATTAAAAACTTGGGAGTAAATCTAACTAGAAACACAAAAGACTTATTCAAAGAAAATTATAAAACATTTCTATGAAACAAAACAGAGACCTGGAAAAACGGAAGAATGTCCCTTGCTCATGGATAGGAAGACTCAATATTGTAAAAATGACAATACTACCTAAAGCAATCTATACATTCAATGCAATTCCAATACAAATACGAATTCCATACTGCAATAAGATGGAAAAAGCAATCTCCAATTTCATTTGGAATGGAAAGAGACCCAGAATAAGAAAAGTACTCCTTAAAATGAGAAACAAGGTAGGAGGCATCTCACTCTCTGATTTCAAATCCTACTACACAGTCGTGGTAGTCAAGAAAACGTGGCACTGGTACAATGACAGACACATAGATCAATGGAATAGAACTGAGAGCCGGAAATCAGCCCATTTACCTATGGTCAACCGACTTTTGGCAAGGAGAGGAAATCAGTTAAGTGGGGAAACAATAACCTTTTTAACAAACGGTGTCGGCAAAATCGAAAAGCCATCTGCAGAAAACTCAAACAAAACCCACATCTTACACCATATATGAAAACCAACTCAAAGTGGTTCAAGGACTTAGTACTAAAACCAAGGACTAAAACCTAGTACTAAAACATTTCATTAGAGAAAAGCTCAGAAGAACCCTAGAAGCACGAATCCACAACTTGAGCATTCTTCCAGGCATTCTGAAAAACCTACAACCAGAAAAGGATAAAATAGATGAATGGCATCTTCTAAGAATAAAATCCCTATGCACATCCAAAACCTTCTCCAACAGGGTAAAAAGGGAAGCCACAGACGGGGAAAAAATACGTGGTAATGACATGTCAGACAAGGGACTTAGATCTAGAATTTATAGAATACTCAAGCAACACAACGAGATAAAGGTAAACAACCCAATTGCAAAATGGGCATAGGATATGAACAGACACGTCACCAAAGAAGACATTCAGGTGTTGGACACATGAAGAAATGTTCAAAATCCCTAGCTTTAAGAGAGATGCAAATAAAAAAACTATAAGATATCATCTCACTCCAGTAAGAATAGCAAAATTTAATAGAGCAGCAAGCAACAAATGTTGGCAAGGTTGTGGAGAGACTGGAACCCTTATTCACTGTTGGTGGGAGTGTAAAATGGTGCAACCACTATGAATGGCAGTATCGTGTTTTCTGAAAAAGTTGCAAATAGAAATGCCATTTGACCCAACAGTTCCACTACTGGGAATATACTCTAAAGAAACCAGAACTGCCACCCAAGTAGAAAAACACACACCCATGTTTATTGCTGCTTTGTTCAAAAAAGCCAAGAGTTGGAAACTGCCTATCAACAAACAAATGGATAGAGAAGCTGTGGTATATTCACACAATGGAGTATTATGCAGCACTGAAAAACAAAGAACTCATGAAATACTATACATAATGGGTGACCATGGAGGCCACACATTATGTTGAGTGAAATATCTCAGTCACAAAAAGACAAATACTGTATACGGCCACTGTTATAGAACAGGACTGATATGGGGGTTGGGGAAAAACTAGGAAAAATAAAGTACACAGCATTGAAACAGACGAGGAAGAGAACTGTATAAAAGAAAGATATGATTAGGTATTATTGGCATGACAAGAGTCCATAATAAAAGTTGCATAGTAAAGTGGTCAGGACTGGGGGATAGGGGTATGGAGACTGTATAACAAAGAACAAACTTTTTTTTCCAAAGGAAAAACTTTTTTTTTCCCAAAGGAAAAAAAGTGACCTGGGTGGATGGAGTAGGGATAGGGAGGAAAAGATGTAACAATGAATGAATGGAAATTAAAAAAAAGGAATATGTTCAAACCTATTCATACCAAATAAAGTATACACTTTATAAAAATACCCCACATAACTCTATCTTCCCTTTATGACTATTATTTTTGACCTAGAATATACATAGCAATAAAAATTCAAATCTGAGTATACAAAGCTTTGCTGACACAAATTCTTAAAAAAGTTTGAAAAAGTTCAAAAGAAAAACTGAATACAAAAGGTGAAACTTTTGAAATGACTTACCACTGAGACAGTTCTTGCAAAAGATTTCTTTAAAATGTGTACTGGTTCACTGGTTTGCTGTTTCCCTTTGGAAGCACTGCCATCACTGGTTGGAAGCCTGATGGTAGCAGACATACATAACCAACTTATACTGCAAAGCTCAATGAAGATTATTATAATAATACACATTTCTACAAGAGTGAAATAACTAAATGACATTTAAATTTCCATGCTTAGTAGAATGTTACTATGAAGGCTTGTAAAAACATTTTCCACAGTTAACAAACATTTTTAGCATGTAAACACTTTAACTTTTAAATCCAGCCCCAATAAGACCAGGTGAGCTGGCCCTTATTGTCTTTACTAGAAATTACATATAAAATAGTTTAAATGGGAAGATAGGTGGTAACCAGCAATCATCCACTGCAATTTATGGCCATAAAACTATACATTACAAATAGATTGCAAAATAAAAAGTATCTCTTCTTGAGAAAACTGAGGGTCTTTTTGTTTATCTGTTGGTGCGTGTTTTTGTTTTAGCTGTGTACCACCACATTTTAAAATGAGTACTAAAAATGAACATACAATAGATGGAAAATCATTGTACATGGAATCTCTATTCTTTTGATCCTTTTACTCTTGACGTATGAATAACAACACTGGAAAACTGAGGTTTTATATCCATTTGGATTTATTTTAATATCACTGCAGTAATCTAGAAATAGATACATACATACAAACACAATAATTCATTATAAAGTAAAAAATTCTTAATTTAAAAATAAAATTAGTATTCCCAAATAACTTTTGTATTAGGTATTTCAGATGAACTTCGAAATTAATCAAAAGTGAGGGGTAGTTTTCTAATTCATTTCTCACAAAATGAATAAGAAACATACGATTACAACAAAATTATTATTAGATACAAATCTAAACACGAAGATATTATACAAATCTAAACAAGAAGATATTATCTCAATGAGATAGCAAACAACAAATCTTAGTGAGGGTGTGGAAACATTAGAGAACTCTCATATACTGTTGATGAAAATGTAAAATGGTGTGACTGCTATGGAAAGTAGTTTGGTGTTTCCTTACAAACTTGTAAATACAAAACCACTATGAGATATCATCTCATCCCAGTCAGAATAGCAAAATTTAAAAGAACAGCAAGCAACAAATGCTGACGAGGTTGTGGAGAAACTGGAACCCTTATTCACTGTTGGTGGAAGTGTAAAATGGTGCAACCACTGTGGAAGATGATGTGGTGCTTTCTCAAAAAGTTGCAAATTGAAATACCATTGGACCCAGTAATTCCACTACTGGTAATAATATACCCCAAAGAGACCATAACTGCCACCCAAGCAGATATATGCATACCCATGTTTATTGCGGCTTTGTTCACAATAGCAAGGAGTTAGAAACAACCCAAGTGCCCATCAATGAACAAATGGATAGAGAAGCTGTGCTATATTCACACAATGGAATTCCACACTGCATTGAAAAACAAGTAACTCATGCAAAATTATTCAAAATGGGTGACCATAGAAGACATTATGATGCGTGAAATATCTCAGTCACAAATGGACAAATACTGCATAGCACCACTGCTGTAAAACAAGCCTGACATCGAGGTTGGGGAGAGACTGTAAAGAGGGGGTAAATAATGTAAACTGCATTGAAACAGATGAAGGAGAAAACTGTTTAAAAGGGACATGTGATTAGGTATTATTGTCATGGTAGGAGTCTAGAATGAAGGCTGCATAGTGGAGGGGACCTGGAGGTGGAGGGGGGTAGGGATTGTAAAACAATGTAAGAATTTTTTCTTTACTTTTCAAAGAGAAGAGTGTACTGGGGGGGCAGGGGGTGGGGCAGGGAGAAAACTGTAAGAATGAATGAATGGAAACCCAAAGTCTCTGTAAATTTTCATTAAAATTAATATGTTAAAAAAAACAAATGCAGAAACATTTTGATGGGAAAAAAATCCTCAAAACAATCCTGAGATTTGTACCAGGGACCTCTGTGTCCCAAAGCGAGAATCATACCAGAAGATGGTGAGAAAATGGTAAACATATAATTACACTGTGAGTATTGAAACGGACGTTATAGAAAAAAATTGTGCATCAATGGCTGAATGAAAAAGTAGTTTGGATTGTAAACTTCCTCTCAAATAGCAATAAGAACATTAAAAAAGTAAAAAATTAGAAATAAAGATGCCCGATTAATTTTTTAAATAAAACCCAAAACTTAATAATAATGCCACATTTAAAGTTTCTTTCCTAAGGTGGGGGGGAGGGGAAGGTTTCTTTCCTAACTTCATTTATCATGAAAAATGTTATTAGTTCATACCATTTTGAAATTTATAAGAAAATCAAATAGAAGATTAAGAAAATATTTATTAAAATATTCTTATTGGAATAACTGCAATAAAATGTAAAATAAAGCTTGATACAGAAAATGTTTAAAATATAGAAAATGTTAATAAAATTTAATGTTTTTGTCAAATGTGGCTATATTTCTCACAATGATTAAAATCTGATAAAACATTCAAAATATCTCATTAAGCCTTTGCTTAATTGTTATACTATCTTGTCACAAAAATTAAATATTAATGAGTTCTAAGTATAAAAAAATACCTGTATAATAACTGTGGTATCTGACCAGCATTAACATCTGTACCATTATTTGATTTCTTTGAACTCTTAAACTGGAAAACCACCCTAAGAAGAGAAAAATAGTTATTATACAAAAGACAACATGATTTTATTGAAGAAATATCAAATTTAGTAACAATTCTCAAGACTTAGGTTTATGAACAGAGAATCTTATTTTATAGGGAAAAAAGGATATCATTCTGTATTTAATGCTAGTTGTAAATACTTTATCAGTAAAATAACAGGACCTGAACTTGAGCAGGTGCTTGCATGTTTCTAAGCCCCAGGACCAACCTCCCGAAGTCAGCTTTAACTAGAGCAGCAAATGTTTAAGAAAAAGTTCAACTTGAAAACAGTTTAAAATCAAATTAAGCAGATATATTGTAAAAATAATTCATTTCAAGATGTCATGATATTCCAAGGTTAGGGTAAAAGCAGACATTTATTCAGTTTTAACATAAATTAGAGTATATTAAAGGGATAGACTGAATAACAGATTGAAATTTTTCTAAAGCATTTGACTCGAATACAGTCAAAAACACGGAATTCTCTTCATAAATTAGTCCAGTTCATATTCTGAACAGTTAATGTATAAACTGAATGAAATTGAAATTATGCAACTTTTATTTATTTAAAATAACTTATGTTCCACAGTAATATCAATATTTTCTCCATCTGTCATGATAATGTCCAGTGGTAAGGATTTTTGTTTTCTTGATTTTGAGATATAACTTATACTGAAGGCTGTTGTCTTCAATACTGGATACATAATATTTGACAAATGTTCTAAGTTTTCAATCATTTCATTATACCTGACTTCAATAAACACCCATGGTAGTAGTAACTAAAATGTCAAGACTTGTTAAATGGGAAATCTGCTGTCAATAACTTCTTCAAAGTGCTAAAGAACAAAGATGTCAGTTTAAAAACCAAGGTGCACTTCATTTTTGAATTTTTTAAAATTTTGAATATTTTGAACTGCTTCCTATTCATCTGAAAACTGGGACATTAATAAGGAACATCAGGGAGAATTGATGCCCTTGAATTACTGTGGTGAAGAACAAACAAATCTGTACAGAATGCTCCTTAGAAATAAGGATTGTGAGATTTCATCTCAGTTATGCTGGCCATATTTTAAGGAGGAGTAAAGCATGGAGGAGAGAAAACATGCAGAGAAAGGTGCAGGGTCAGCAAGAAAGGACGATCCTCAAGGAGACTGACACAGTGACCACCACAATGGCCACCAGCAGGTCACAGATCAAGAGGATGGCACAGGATAGGGAAAGGCTCAGATCCATTGTTCATAAGGTTTGCTGTGAGTCACCGTCGATTGGACGGTACCTAACAACTAACAGAGTAATACATAATGCGCTGCCTTTCTCTTACAAATGACAGATCTTTAAAATGCATGAATCACAGTGATGAAAGTACAAACAGTACTGAATTTGGAGTACAAGCTCCAAGTCTAGGTTTAGTTCTTCCACACAGTAATTACAGGACGCTAAGCAAACCACTCTACCTTCTTGTGTCTCTTATTTTTCTTACTCCTCAAATATATTTCTTTTTTTATAAAAAAGCATTAATAATGAATTAATGAAGTTCATGAGAACACCATATATTGAACATAGATGGAAAAGTTTGCAAAAATGTACTTTTAAAACAGTAAATTTTCCCCAACATGTTATTAAAAACATACAATCTTATATTACTGAAATTCTACAATTTAAAAACTTTATTTGAATTATCAATTATAACAACATATATAGATATCTGTATTTATGGGTTTCAAATTTCTAAATAACCTTGTAATCGCTCCCTAATAATGGCTCATTTGGATATAAGATTTTAAAGAATGTTGGTGATGTGCATTCAAGTGAGAATGGACTCATAGCTGACCTTCCAGTGGGTTTTCAGAGGCTGTAAATGACATGAGAAGAGCTTGTCCATCTTACACCCATGGAGCAGCTGGCGGACCAAACAGCATGCCTTTGGACTGGCAGTGCAATTCCTTACCATTAGGCAGCCAGCGCTCCCTTTAAAGGAGGTGGTTGCTGCTGTATGTTGTAGAGTCAGAACCAGTCCACAGCTGACCTTCCACTGGGTTTTCAGAGATAGTAAATCACAAAAAAGACTGCCCAATTTTCTCTTGCTAAGCAGCTAGTGGACTCGAACTGCATGCCTACAGGCTTGCAGTGCAGCTCCTTACCACTTGATCACCAGAGTTCCCTTTAAAGGATGCAGTACCCAGAAAAATATACACAGATACTGACAACAGGCAAAAAACCTGACATCAATGTATCATTGCATTCTTATGCAAATTAACTCATGTTTTACACAGTTTTTGCAAATCATGCAAATCCTCTTGTATTAGTTGCCTATGGACTCTATGAAAATTATGTTGGTATATTATTTGGAAAAAATATGGTATCTCTCCTGTTTATGTCTAAGCTTAATTTGGTATAAGGTGATTAGATTTTATGGTTTTTGTTAGCTGTCATATTATGCCCTAGTCTAATTATGCATTTTATTCTACATAACATCCTCAGAGGGAGCCCCTGGTGATATAGCGGTAAGGAGTTGTGTTGTCAACCCTAAGACACGCAGTTAAACCCACCAGCTTCTCTAAAGGAGAAAGATGGCTAATTTCCTCCCATGTGATTTACTTTCTCTGAAAACCCACTGGAGGGTAAATCATGAGTCAGTTCTGACTTGATGGCATGCAACAATAATAACGTCCTCAGAGTCTTCAAAACAGTATTCTACCAACAGGAATGACAGAGTGTGTAAATAGTAATGAAACCTTTTGCTTACCCATCATCTGTGGTAATGGATGCCTGTCCATGAGATCCACAGTCACTGCTCGGTCCCGACACGCGTGCCCAGGCCACATACCACCATCCAGCTTGCAGGAGAACTGGCTCATCAAACATCATTGCATATTTCTCTCTGGGAGGAAAATCAGTGAGTTACAGATGATGCCAATTTCTCAGATATATTTATGTGAAATAATTACTTATAAATAAAACACAAAATTATATTATAAAAAACTTGTTAAATGACATCATGAGAGGCTAGATAAGAAAGAGTACATGTTTTCCTTTCTTTAAGTACAAAGGCTACCAGAAATTAATGAAATGATTATATTAAAATAAGTCAACTTTTAAAATGGCTATTAAAAACCTGATAGCGATAATAGCCTTGAGCATAACAGAAATCTTGAGATGGTGCAGGACAGGGCAAGATTTTGATCTGATGCTCATAGGGAGGCCAGGAGTTGTAGACAATTCAAGGGTGCCTAACTACAACATGAAGAAAAAATTTAAGATAGCTGGAAAAGGAAAAAAACCTGAACTTTAATAATAACATTTACTTATCAACAAGAGTATTTTGAGAGGGAACCTAGTGCTAAGGTTAAGAAAACAGCTCTAAAATTCAAACAGTTCACTCTGTGGCTTATTAGCTGGGTGACCCTGAGGAAGTTATTATATCCTCCTTAGACTTAACTTTTTTTAGCTATACAACAAGGATTAATATCATGTTTAGATATTATTATTGATATAATTATGATTATAATCATATATTAATATTATTCTGAGAATTAAATTATTCACATAAAGTGTTGGAACTACTCTATGTAATCACTTGACAAATAATTTTCTCGTTTTAAAAAAAATATTAATCATGTATAAGAAACTATGCTAGGTACATAAAGAAAAAAATAGATTATACTTGAAAGACTTAGGTCTCAAGAAGTTTACTTAAATTTACCAAGAAAGAAAACAGATATGAAGAGTGTCTGATTAAGAATATAAACATGTCATAAAAATCTAAGTAACAGAATGACTGTGAGAGATAAGGCATTTGAAAATTGATTAGGTGTAAAAGGAGTAGGGAAAAACTAAAAAAAAAAAAAATATACTATGAACATTTATGAAGTCTCTTAACACAAAAAGCCTTACGTCTTTGGCATTATTTAATAAGCAAATAAAAAAAAGTATAAATGATTTTGTAAATAAGAGACCAGACATATTATAATTTTGTCATAATAATATACACAAAATATATACATAGCAATAGTATATTAAGGTGGTACTAAAAACTTTCCTTTAATCTTCATAGGCAAAACCCAAAACTTTTGCTAATGCTGAAAATGAGAAGGAAAACAAATAGAATTTTTTTAGGTTCATGATTTTTGTTCTCAATTTTTTCCTGTAAAAAACAAATTTAATGCTTTAATATCAGCATAATTTCAGAAAATATACACTCTGAGATTTATGAAAATTCCTATCACAATAGGTTTTCTTAAGATAGTGCTGGAATATACAATATACTATGACTATGAAGCTAGACTTAATTTTTAGAATAGTCTCTGATTCAAATCATTACTATGTCTTAAGACAGTGTTTAGATAGTTCTACGGAATACAAAGAAAGGACTGACTTTTATGACTTCATAAATACACACAGTAATCTGGTTGCTGCTCAAGAGGTATTAGTGAAATTGTTCACTTCTTCATCTATGCTATAATTAGAGGTATACTGGTTAATTCGTTGACCCTTTGGGAAGCTCTGGTGGCTTAGTTGGTAAGGACTTGCACTGTCAAACTAAAGGCAGATGATTTGAACCCGCCAGTTACTCTGTGGGAGAAAGATGGGCAATCTCCTCTGATGTGACTTTCAGACTCTGAAAACCCTCTGGAGGGTCAGCTATGAGTTGTTGACTTGACAATAATGAACTGAATTTGAGTTATGGAGAGTCTGAATCATTGTGCATACAAGTAGATACAGAATGCTACAATTAATATATAATTGTAGGTAGTATCACATATCACTACAACTTAAACACACGAAAATGCTAGTTATTTCCCAATGGGTACATGAAAAGGTTACACAATCCTGTATCTATCATATATCCACTTTATCTTTAATATTGAAATTATAAATTTATCTTGTTATTTTTAAGACAGCATGTTCAAAAGTAATTCTTTCCACTAGATGCTCTCTGCTGGAGAAGGAGGGGCAATCTCCTTCTGTACCAGTCAGATATGATTTGATGGTACACACACACAAAATAGTAAAATTTTTTAAAGAAAGTAATTCTTGTTATCTAATACAGAATTTAACTTTTTAACCACCTGAAAGTAGTAAGACAGATTTAGAACATTTCCTTTTAAAATAATGTTTTCTTTATTTATAAAGAATATCCTTCAAAGTAGGTAAGTTTTAAACTAAACAATATAAGTATTGTTATGAATACACTAATACCTTGCAGCACAGTCATAAGCCAACACATCAGTTTCTGCAAGGAGGTCTCCATCAGTTTCATGATCTCCTCCATCAGGACCCAACTCAAACAACTAGAAAAGGGAAAGAGTTTTAAAAAAAAAAAGGGAAAGAGTTTTGCCCAGTAATATAATGTAGAATCACATGTATATAATTGTGTGTGTCCAATTAATGTTTAATGGTATTGTTGTTATTGTTATATGTTATTAAATCGCTTGCGACTCATAGTAAGCCTATGTACAACAGCTCTGAACCCCGCTCTATCCTGTGCCAATCTTACTGTCTCTGATACACTCACCTTCATTACCCTAGTAACTGAATCAATCCATCTCATTGAGGGTCTTCCTCTCTTGCACTGTCCCTCCACCCTCCCAAGCATGATGTCCCTTCTCCAAGGACTGGTCTCTCCTTGCAATGTCCCAAAGTATATCAGATGGAGCTTTAGAATCCTTACTTCCAAGGATCAGCCAGATTTCACCCTCTTCAGGATGAATCTATTCATTATAACTTTTTTGTATTACATATTACTGAGAGATCTAAGAAAACACTTTCTGAATGTATAGCAGAAAGTTGAAAATATTTTTTTACATTAAAATGAAGGTAAAAATTAAAATACTGTCTTTTAAGAGCAAAATAAGATAATCTGAACAGCACACTATTTAAGCTACTAGTTAATTTTTAAAAATATACATACTGTGATGAGAATAATTATAGGCCCTCTCTGAGATAAAAGGGAAAGAAAAGCTTTAGCTCCTGAACTCCTGAATATGTTTTTATTTAACAGATGAAACCCAACACTTAGACTCTATCTCTCACTACGTTCCTGTCTTTATCCTCATTCATTCATTCATTCATTCTCTTGCCTGTTAACACAGTAACAGGCATTAAAACGGCTAAAGCAATTGTGTAAGTTCAATGATTATTTCATCTTTTTTTATGCAAATTTGAATTTCTATCTAACTTAGTAATTGCAAATTCTTGAATCAGAATTATTGCAAAGTTTTCCCAAACTCTTTTAAGAAGAGAGGACTTTATAAAAAATTAAATCAACATTAACATTTTCAAATAAATCGTACAACAGTGGCTTTTAACAGCTTACCTTAATTTTAGCAGTATATTCTCCTCTGCCTCCAAAGAGACCAAGACCTCCAAGTAAAATATCAGTGTCTGCACTAAAACGAATAGCTTCCACTGAGTGCGCAGAGTAACCCCAGCCCCCTCCATGACCTAAAGGATGTGAAGAAAATTTTTATCTTTAAAAATATCTATATATATTTCAGTGACAAGAAATATTTCCTAAGTAGAAGTATACATACTTTCAAACCTGTTGACTACACTATAGTCTTCTTTGGAATAAACTTTCATTACTGCTTGAGTCTCCTCCTCTGTACTCGCTACACCCATTTTCAAATCCTGCATAGCTGCCAAGGTATCAAGACAACCTAAAACAACAACCAAACAAAATTCAACTCCTTGAAAATAAATTTTTACATGGTACTTAGCCGAGGTTTTAAACATAGTTTTATAGGAGAAGTATTACACCAATAAACATTCTCCTCTTTCTGGGTAATTATATAAACAAGAATTAGTTGGCAAGATTAATCAGAACTGGCTTTGACAAGCACTGTGGCAATTGGACAATGAAAACAAACTTTCAAGGGGGAAAAAAAAGAAGAACGAACTGGGGAGGAGGGTAGAGAAAATAGTACAACATTGAATGAATGAAAACCCCAAATCTCTGTAAATGTTCATTAAAATAAAATTTAATAATTAAAAAAAATTAGTTGGCAAAGTTTTACACAAAATTATCTCTTTTGAAAAACTGAAATTTTAAAAATTATGATTTCTTATAAGCTTCTTCTTATAAGATTCTTAAAGTAATCTGAAGCACAATAGCTAGCCAGAAACTAATTTATGCTAGTCTGGATGTTTACAATGACCACCAGATAAAATTGGCAAAAAGGAAGCAAAGTATTAAGATCTAGTTATTAACATTATGACTCAATAATTGTAAATGTAAGAGAAACATAAATAAAGCTTTTAAGGATCATTTTAATAATAAGTTATTACGTAGAGCAAAGTGATCTGTAGCATCTCTGAAGTATGCCTACACTGTAAGTAGATTCGTATGTTACTCAATTTTGTCAAAACCTGACAATATCCTAGCTACAAAGTAAGTGAAGTTACCTACTTTTAAGAGCTGATCCAACAGTATAAAATTAGTAGGAAATTTTACTAATTTCTACTCAATTTTTAGCAATAATAATGAGTTATTAAAATGCTATATCTCAAATTAATACAATTGACGTTTACATGCTATAAAGAACTTATAAGAGTAGAAGCACTTGTTATAACTTATAGTTTTATGGAATTTGTTAATCATATAGATATAAAAAATATATTATAATTGAATACTGACTCTACATCTCTAAATGTTTATACAGTCAAGTTAGCTGAAATGTTATTTTAAAAGATCTAGATATTAGGAAGAAGTAGGCAAAATTGCAAAAATAATCTGGTCATACATGAATGTTTGATGTTGTTGGTATTGTTCTAATATCCTGTTGTGTGTAAAGGATAAGCCTTCTAAAGATAGAGGAATTGATTTATTTTGTACTGAGTTATTTTTCAACAAAAATCTACATACAAACTTAGTTACAGTATAGACATGCTCAGTTACTGCGGGCTCAGTTTCAGATCATCAGAAAAATGTCAACACTGTAATACAGCATGCCATCTGATTGTTTGTTTGAGAGAGCGTATAGAAGTTATATATATTCTATACCATAGTTGAGTAAGTAGGCACAACTTTCCGAAAAATGCTTGAAATACTGTGAAAATTACCAAAATGTGAAACAATACACGTAGGAAGCACATTTTAATATTAATAAACTTGCTCAACTCAATACTGCTACAAACAAACCTTCAGTGTCTGTAAAGCTAAATAAGTAATAACAAAACCAGATATGTATGTACTCTAAAAATGAAAACAAAACAAAAACTCAATTTATATCAACACAAATTGAATGAACATCCACTGGTGATCCTACCAAGAATATGCAAAGCTGCATGAGATCGGGTGGTGAGAGCCCTTGATCCTGTCGGTAAGGCAAGTTCAGGACTGAGGATGCTGCATCTGGACTCCATGTCTGATGCAGAGGGGAGCCTAGCATCAGCAACCACAGCATTGTAACACCACAGTTCTCTAGTGTTTGGTCGAAACCTGTCAACAAAGAGAATTATTACATTACTTTCAGAGTTTCCTTAAAAAAACCCAAACTTTGCTATCTAACTCAAAAGTCAGTCAAGCACACAAATGAAACAACTTGGGTTGCTACTATCTGAACAGTTATACAGATCACCACACTTCATGAATAATATAGCAACTTGGACATTTAAAAATTCATTGTATATGTAAAATACATGAAACTCTTATGTAGCAAAAACACCACAAAAAGTTTAAAGACAAGTTAAAAAATATGAAACAAAATAATGAGCTGATTAAAATTTTGAAAAACATAAAATATGGCAAAAGCAACAATATTCATGATGTGAAAGAAGTCCTACAAGCCAATAAGACAGACTATCAATTCAAAGGCAAAAAGTGAACAAAGGACATGAAATGCTATTCTCAGAAAAGAAACACAAACAGCCTCCAAGTACATATCCAATATTACTAAAAGCCAAATTAAGAAAAAACCCAAACACACCCAGATGTTCTGTTACTGGTGCATGTCTCTTATTTCTCCAAGAATTTAAAGAAAATTCTCAAAAAGCTGACTCCATTTTCTCATCTTCATAGTCTATGTATTTGTTTTCACTAAGTTGTTCTTATTAACCACGAAGTTGATTTTAAATGAACATTTACAAATGTTTTAAAAAATAAGGAATGAAGAAGAGTGGGACAATGTGTATACACTAGTTAAGAGAAAAGAACACCATTAATTTTAGGTGTCCCGTGGTACCTTCCATGGACCAACACCCTTTCCTTTTACTCTCAGATGGGAACAACTTTCCTGAATTTTATCCTTCTCTTGCTTTTCTTTGAGATCTTTCATGTTTCTATCAAAGGATATGTTACTAAGTTTCATATTTTAAACCAATGTGGGTGTATAAATATATAAGGGTGTGTATGTGTGTGTGTGTATGTATAAATAGTTCAACTATTACACATATAGTACAAGTATTCTTTTACATGTATTCTGGCTTAGTATTTTCAAACAACACAGTCATGCAATCTTATTTTTGCTGTCACATACAGCAGAAAAAGAATCCACACTGTTGCTGGATATTTCCATATTGTGAGAATATCATTAAGTATTTATCCATTCTATTATGAGTGCGAGAGTACAGGGCCTTAATCTTTAAAGAAATGGCATTTTCTTAATATTTGTGAATATTACAAAATCATTTTTTTCCCTCTGCTGCACTTGGTAGACTGAATTGTGAAAGTCAAGCCTGTAGCCATTGCACCAGCAAGATCACTTCCTAGTGGGTTATAACTTAGTGTCTCATCATTGATTTAATTTCCTTTTACCATATCACTATCTAGAGTCTCCTCCCATATGCTTATAATTAATATTCTTTCTGTTTCTGTAAAGATATCCCTGCTCATTTTTTCCTCTTAACTCACAGGAATACTTTTATTTTCTTTTATTTATACTAGTTTAGTCATAAAACTCAAATACATTCTTTTTCAGACCGGATTCTTCCAATTTCCATACAGAAATACTTTTAGAAGCAACCTTTTCATAGATATCTTTTGTCTATTCTGTGAATTGTTTTTATTATATTTGAGGAAGTCTTCTAATTAAAAGGTTCTTAATTTAATGTAGTTTGATTTATTGACTTTTTAAAACTATATTTTAAGAGTTCCTTTAATTAAGAATGTTTTTCTTCACTAAAACTCATACATTTTTTTCCCCGATACTGGCTCCTAAGAGTTTTATAGTTATCAAAGTCATACTTCAGCCTTTACTTCACCTGAATTTATTATTGTGTTATGTACTAATGACTTGAGTTTGGTGTTCTCCCCCATTTTCCAATATGCATGACCAAGCACACTGATTGAGGTTACTTTTAAATACAACTTTGAAATGTCAACTATTTCTAACATGTATCACATTTTCAATAGGATCACTGTTTTCTATGTAAACATATTAATTGCAAAATTAGGGTTTCCCCCCTGTAACTCCAATAAATATATATTATACACTTTTATCTCTTTTTCTGTACTAGCATTCTAACTGTTGCTGTTACGCACCACTGAGTAGCCTCATAGCACCCTATGACTCATAGTGACCCTATGCACAATAACTCTGAACCCTGCCTTATCCTGAGCCAGTCTCATTGTCTCCAACACACTTGCTCTCATTACCCCAGCTACTGTGTCAAGCTACCTCATTCAGAGTCTTTATCTCACCTTTATTGTCCCTCCACCATTATAAGCAAGGACTGGTCCCTTCTGGCCATGTGCCCAAATTATGTCAGATGGAACTTCAGAATCCTTGCCTCCAAGGAGCAGCTTGGTTTCACTCTCTCCAAGGCAGACATGTTTGTTCTCTTGGCACTCCAGTTCAATACTCTTCTCCAGCACTACAACTCATAAGCACTGATTTTTCTTTCATCCTTAGCCACTGTCCGGCTTTCTGATGGACAGTGAGTAATTGCAAAGACCATGGCATGGATCAGGTGCACCTTAGTTTCCAGACTAACATCTTTGCTTCAGTACTATGGAGAGGTCCCTGACAGCAGATGCACCCAATGTAATTCATTCTTTGATTTTTCTGAGTGCAGGTGCCAAGAGTGCTGATTGTAGAACCAAGCAAGCTAAAACTTAACAGTTTCAATCTCAATCTCTTCTCCATCTATTATAGTGCTGTCAATAGGCCTAGTGGTGAGAATAATTGTTTTTCTGTTGTTGAGTTTCAATCCATACTAGGGACTGTAGTCCTTGATCTTCAGCAAATGCTTCAGGTCCTCCTCAGTTTCGGCAAGCAAGGTTGTGGCTGATGAGTCTTCCTCCAATTCTGATGTCAAACTCTTCCTCATAAAGTCCAGGCTTCCTGAATGACCTGTTCTGCATATAGATTGAAAATATATGGAGACAGGGTGCATCCCTGACATACTCCTTTCCTGATTTTGAACCATGCAGTGTTTCCTTGGCGTGTTCTGACCACTGCTTCTTGATGCAAGTATAGATTTTGCCTGAGCATAATTATGTTTTCTGGGATTCCCACTCTTCTCCATGTTAGCCACAATTTGTTGTGATCTACACAGTCAAATGTCTTTGCATAGTCAATAAAACATAAATATTTCTCTAGTATTCTCTGCTTTCAGCCAAGATTCATCTGACATCAGACATGGTGCCCCTAGTGCCATGGCTACTTTTCAACCCAGCTCGTACTTCTGGGACTTCTCTGTCAATGTACTGTTCTGGTAATTTTTGGATCATTTTCAGCAGGATTTTGCTTGTGTGTGATATTGTTTGATAATTTTTACACTTCTCAATCACCTTTTTCTAGACAGGAATAAATGGAAGGGATCACTTCCAGTCAGTTGGCTAGGTAAACTGTCCTCCCAATTTCAGGCACAGCCTGGTGAATACTACCAGGGCAGCATCTGTTGGATGAAATACGTCAACTCATATTCTTTGTACTCCATCAATTCCTGGGGTATTGTTCTTTGCCAGTTCCTTCAGAGAATCCTCCTTCATTGCCATTGCCTCTTGGTCATATTTTGTTTCATGAAATTTCTCTATCGGTCAATTATTTTTGGTATAGTGTCTCTGTATACTACTTCCATCTTCTTTGATGCTTCCTGGATCATTCAATATTCTGTCTAGAGCATCTTTAAGTATTGTAAATTGAGGCTTGAATTTGTTCTTCAGTTCCTTCAGCTTAAGAAATGCTGAGTGAGCCTGTTCCTTTGATTTTTCAACTCCGGTTCTTTGCACATTCTACTTACTTTGTCTTCCCAAAGCCCTTTGAAATCTGTTCAGCTTCTTAACTTCCTGATTTCATCACTTTTTTTTTTGGCTTCTTGGTATTCTAGTGCAATATCCAGAGTCTATCCCATTATCTATCTCAGTCTTTTCTTTCTCCTCTGTCTTTGTAATGACTTTTTGCACTCATCATGGATGATAGCCTCACCTCAAAATCTGATCATTAATTATGGTATTTTATAGCATAAAAATATTTCTATAAAAATAGGTTATTGTGTATAAAAATAGGTAAATGTCTTTTATTCTTAAGACTCCATCTTTATATAGAAATTCATCTAACGAGTGAGTCAAATGCTTATTTTGCACTGTTTAAAAAACAGATGTGGAAATTGGCCTTCTTACAATAAAGCCCTATTTGCATTTCAATTTGTCCATTATACATTATTGTTTAAATACACTACACAATTATCTTTGCTAATAATTTATTGAGTATTTCAGTATCTAGCAAGATGGGTCCCCTAATTTCCTTTTCATTGCCTTTTTCAGCATTAATTTATGCAGTCCTCATTTAAAGAAAAAACCACACAAAAAGAATAATCTGTGTTTGCTATGGGTAATATATTGAACAACCCAGAAAGCATCAAAAGAAGATGTAGGGAATACACAAATTCACTGTACTAGAAACAACTGATTGACAGTGAAAAATTTCAGCAAGTACCATATGAACAGGAGTCAACGGTAATGAAGGAGGAAGTAGAAGCTGCACTAAAGGCATTGGCAAAAAATAAGGCCTCAGGAATCAATGGGATACTAATGGACTTGTTTCAATTAACAGATGTAGCCTTGGATGTGCTCACCAGTCTATGCCAAAAAATTTGGAGGACAGCTATCTGGCCAATGGACTGGAAGAGGTCATATTCATTCTCATTCTCAAGAAAGGTGATCCAACTGAACGTGGAAACTATCAAACAATATCATTACTATCACATGCAAAAAAAATACTGCTGAAGATCATTCAAAACAGATAGAACAGTACATGGATATGGAACTGCCAGAAATTCAAGCAGGATTCAGAGCAGGCTGTGGAACCAGGGATACACTGCTGATCTAAGATGGATCCTTGCTGAAAGTAAGGAACACCAGAGGAATATCTATTTGTGCTTTATTGACTATGCAAAGACATGTGACTGTGGGCATCATAACAAGTTGTGGCTGATATTGAGAAGAATCAGAATCCCAGAGCACTTAATTGTGCTCATGCGGATACAACACTTTGACGAGGAGGTTGTGGTATGAACAGGGCAGGAGAACACTGTATGGTTGAAAATTGGGAAGGGAGTGTGTCTGAGCTGTATTCTCTCTCCATAACTATTCGAATTATTGGAGAAGCTGTACTCTGTGAAGAGGAGAGTGGCAATAGGACTGGAGAGAGACTCATCAAAAACCTGCACTATAGAGATGACACAATATTGCTTTCTGAAAGTGAGGAGGACCTGAGGCATTGTTGCAAAAGACAAAGAATGCAGCCTTCAGTATGGATTGCATCTCAGTATCAAGAAAACAAGGATTCTCACCACTAGACCGATAGGCAGCGTCATGATGAATGGAGAGGAGACTAAAACTGTCAACAGCTTCATCTTGCTTGGATCCACAAATTTCATCAACACCTTTAGTACCAGCAGTCAGGAAAGGACATGTTTTGCACTAGGAAAATATGCAGTTAGGGACCTCTCCAAATTACTGAGGAGTAATGATGTCAGTTTGAGGACTAAGGTGCAAATGATTTAGGCCATGGGCTTTCCAATTACTTGCTATGATCCGAGAGCTGGACAATGAATAAGAATGACAGAAGAATTGATACCTTTGAGCTTTGGTGTTGGAGAAGAGCACTGAACATCTCATTGATGGCCAAAAGAACAAACAGAAAGGTCTTGGAGAGGGTACAGCCAGAGTGCTCTTTGGAGGCAAAAATGATGAAGTTTTTTCTCACCTATTTATGGCATGTTGTGAGGAGAGACCGGTCCTTGGAGAAGGACATCATGCTTGGGAGG